ATAGAATACTGATGCTAGTTATCTGCATATTTTGCTTAATAATTAAAAATACATTTTAACTAGTCTAAATCAAAGCGAATATGACTGTCAGTGTCGGCCCACTAGTTAGAAATAAAATATATTGGTTGTAATTCGTTTCTGCATAAATGATATGATAAATATTGTATAAAGTTATAAGTAGGTACTTCATAGAGAGTATTATGTCGTAGATATCATAAACAATAAGATTAAGGTAACTTCTGTTCAATCTTATCAAATTTATTTGCACTTTCTTGATACAAGTCATGTACTAGCCACAAGTGGTTATTTATAAGATATTTGTAACGTGTATACAGGGTGCTACAAATTCGAGGTACGAGCCTTGGTATCTCGGTAACCGTAATAAATACGAACATGGTTAAGTTGGGTCAAAGTTGCGCTTTAGGATGTTCACCAAGATGCCATCAAAAAAGTTTTAAAAATTTCAAGGATTGCTGAGTTTTTTGGAGAAGACGGATTTTTTTGAAAATCAATTTTATTTTTTTCTGTCATTACTTTTTAGAAAATCAAAAAAAACTAATTGCACTTTCTCATAGCCACTTTATTAGAGCTATCTGATGATATTTTTAGATTTTCAAATTAGCTGATAATTTGTGAGATACAGAGGCCAACTTAATTTTTTTAAATACGGACCTGCATTTTTTATTTCAGGTTTTGAAAGAACTCGGTCTCCTGAGTACAACGATATGCCACACTTTATACTTTTTTTTTTGTTTTGGGTACCTTAACAATAACAAAACTATTTAATTGTTATTGAAAATAATTTCAAATCCTGCTCTAGTTTTTTAATTTATTTAATCTGATTATATTCATCACAACAATATTGATCAGCGCTAATTAACATTAAATAAGGAAAATCAATAAAAATTGTTGGACATTTCAAATCAATACATTTCAACATTAAGAGTACACAAACAATTAAGGAGTAATAAAAAACAATTAAAGAGTACAAAATGCATTCGGAAGTATAAGAAGAAGATCTGTTTAAAGAGCTATAAATGACAGATGTGTGCATTATGGATGGTGGTAAACCTTTTGAACATGCAGAGCATTAGAAACTAGTTTGCAGAAGTTATTTATAATAACTACGATTAATATTATGCATATTATTAGATGGTACACTGAGATTTCAAATTCACAATAAAAAAAGTTAAAAATAATAGATATCTTTAAATTGCTGACCTGGATATTAATTATTTGAATCTTTCAATTGGCGTGATTTTCCTTATTCAATGTTAATTAGATCTGATCAATATTGTTGTGCTGAATATAATCAGATTAAATAAATTAAAAAACCAGAGTCGAACTTCAAATTATTTTAAATAACAGTTAAATAGTTTTGTTACTGTTAAGGTACCAAAAACAAAAAAAAGTATCAAGTGTGGCATATCATTGTACTCAGGAGACCGAGTTCTTTCAAAACCTGAAATAAAAATTGCAGGTCCGTATTTAAAAAAAATAAGTTGGCCTCTGTATCTCACAAATTATCAGCTAATTTGAAAATCTAAAAATACCATCAGATAGCTCTAATAAAATGGCTATGAGAATGTGCAATTAGTTTTTTAATTTTCTGAAAAGTAACGACAGGAAAAAATAAAATTGATTTTCAAAAAAATCCGTTTTTTTTTCAAAAAACTCAGCAATCCTTGAAATTTTTAAAACTTTTTTGATGGCATCTTGGTGTACATCCTAGAGCGCAACTTTGCTCCAATTTAACCATCTTCGTATCTATTACGGTTTCCGAGATACCAATGCTCGTACCTCGAATTTGTAGCACCCTGTATGTATAGCTTATTTAGGATCTCAAAAAATGTAGTTCTATCGTGAAATATTTAATAGGTATTTATTTAAAGATTTTATATTAATCGATATTTTTCTTGCAAACTTTGAACACGTTGCAGCCAATTGTTCATATAGGACATAGAATGACTCAGCAATTTTTCAAGTGTTTTGGAAAATTAGACAACTTTACCCTTGAACGAATTTCACATGTTCGAAATTCCCCTGTTTACCAAACAATACTGATTGTTTTGTCCCACTTATTAGCAGCAGATACTTTCATTCAGAAATAAACATTTTGAGAACCTTAAAATACACGTTTTCGTTATAGACGTCCAATTATCTTAAACGACCTGTATGCAGTTTATGGATTACCATAGAGAAAGATAATAAACTTTCTCTATGTAGACTACTGTCATCAATAATATTCAATAATTTATGCATAACTTGTTTGACTATTTGTGACGACCCATTTATATTATGAACTACGAGTTCGAATTATTATTGTTCTAGCACAGCAAAGGTTCTAGTATAGATTGCTCAACGAGAGAATATGTCAACGAGTGAAAGTTGTTGCCTGTCATTTTATGGGATGGGTTTTATTGTCTGCGGAGCACAGTCTGCGCCTAGATCCTATATGTGTGAATTAAAAATAGTCTTTCAAATACAATTTAAATAAAAAAATTAGATGACCGATTCCAGTTCAAATTGACAGTCTGAACACAGTCAATACACAGTACCTACTGTATGTGAGAATCCACCTTAATTTGGTTATTCAAGATAAACCAAAATCGCAACATTGTCAGAAAACCGTCGAAATTCCCCTGTTTACCAAACAATACTGATTGTTTTGACTCACTTATTAGCAGATACTTTCATTCAGAAATAAAATATTCGAGAACCTTAAAATACACGTTTTCGTTACAGGCGTCAAATTATTTTAAACGATCTACATGCAGTTTATAGACTACCATGGAGAATGATAATACACTTTCTGTATGTAGATTACTGTCATCAATAATATTCAATAACTTATGCATAACTTGTTTGACTATGATAACCCGTATATATTATGAACTACGAGTTCCAATTATTATAGTTCTCGCACAGTACAGATTCTAGTATATGTAGTAACGAGAGTATATATGACACTTGACAGTGAAAGTTGTCACATAGTGGGAGGGGGGGTTAGGTTGCGGGGGGAGCTAAACTCTTAAAAAAAAGCTTAAGATTTTTTTTATTATTGACTACAGAGCACAGTCTGCGCCTAGACCTATATGTGTGTATTAAAAATGGTATTTCAAATACAATTTTATTGGAAGAATTAGATGAACGGTTCCAGTTCAAATTGACAGTCTGCACACGGTGAATGCTCAGTACCTACATACATAGTATGTGAAAATCCACCTTATTTTGGTTATTCAAGATAAACAAAAATCACAATATTGTCAGAAAAACAGCCCTGCTCTAACCAAAGAAAGGCCCCAGCTCTACAACCATCAAACGAATAGAAGAACCAGCTACGTATTCTGGAACAACTTCTCAAACAATTCGACCATCTCCACGCATCTGAATAATGAAATCGCGAACCTTCTAGACACTGTCTGATGTTTAGAATAACTAATACCAGTTACATGAAAACTCCTTCCTGTTTTTCATTCTAATTTTTTTTCTAAACACAGACACGCAAAAAACTTCTTGCGGATTTAGTGATAAAATATAGCAAGATTTGAAAAGCACTCTTCAATTGGAATTCGTAAACAAACGCGTTTTAGCTTACAGCATGTTTTGATTGCTTTGGTTTGGTTTGGTTCGTTTTTCCTGTTGATGTCTAAATTGCATTATTTATTAGGTTATGTTCACATCTACACAAGAAAGTGTTTATGATGTAAAAAGTGAAAGTGTTTATAATGTAAAGCAGGAACATCAACAGCAACAACAGGAGCAATTCCCATGTAACATAATATAACATAACTTGTTTGACTATCATAGGCCATTTATATTATGAATTACGAGTTCGAATTATTATAGTTCAAGCACAGCAAAGGTTCTAGTATAGATTGGTCAACGAGAGAATATATGACACTTGACAGTGCCTGTTATTTTATCGGAGGGGTTTTATTGTCTGCGGAGCACAGTCTGCGCCTATACCCCAAATGTGTTAATTAAAAATAGTCGTTCAAATACAATTTGAGTGGAAAAATTAGATGAATTTCTTTAGTTAGTTCTTTTAGAGTTTTAGTTCTTTTAGAGTTTCGAATAAAATTTTGAGGCTAAAAGTTACTATAAATGCGACATATTTTAAAGTTAAAAAAATGTCGACATATTCACCAGTCTGTACTGACTTTTTTTCTCTTGTTAGCGAAATAGTACAAGCAGTTTAATGCCGATTAAAAGTCGTCTGATATTTTGTCGATTTCGACCTCCTTGATGAGATAAACGCAATTTTATTAATTTGCCTTCATCCAAGTCTAGTAGCAACATTTAAAAATTTTTAATATTATTAACTTGCGAATTTTTTAAAAAAGTACTCATTGATTTCTCATCAAAAAATATGCAAAAAAGTTCCTATAAATACGGGTATGGAAATGCATAGTTTTAGAGTTACAGGTTGTTAAAACTTTTTAAAATTAGGTTTTTTGTAATTATCTCAAATACCATTATTTTTTTATTTAAAATTGCTGTAGGTTGTACTAATAGTAATATAGTAATAATATTTAATAGTAAATTAGGTAAAATATATAATTTATTAATTTAATTTTTATTTTAATTTTATTAATTATGATTAATAAAATTGCGTTTATTTCATCAAGGATGCTGAATTCGACAAAATATCAAGAGCTTTTAATTGGCATTAAACGACCTACACGATTTTGATATCAAAAGAAAAAAGTCAGTGGCGCAAACAAAGCAGAATCGGACCTATGTTGATATGAAAAATAAATCTTAATTTTACGCGAGGAATCTCCCCATGAGAGATGGCACATATTTTTTGAAACGCCCTGTATATAGAGATTAAAGTTGGGCTGAACTGAACCCCCTCAGGCCCCCTTGTAGTGCCACTTATGGCAGTAATCTATATTTTTCCTTTTCTCCAAAGTACCTATTTTATCCTATTTATCTAATTTACTAATTGCTATATACATAGAAATATAATAATATAATAATTAATTTTTTTTCAGATTTTTCTTCGAGGGAGGTAGAAGTAAAAGGCGATTACGTCATACTTAAAGACTTGGCCATCTTAGAACAATGCGAATCTACGACATACCCAAACGGTGTAGTGAACGAAGCTTACGAAATACAGGAATCATACAATCCAATGTATCCAAATTTATACGAAAACGCGCCGCCTTTAAATGTAAACGCATCAGTGAAAGAACCGTATCAGAGACAATCTCCATACAATCCAAATTTCTATTAATGCCCTCTATTTATATAATTTCTATATTGTATAAATTACTTTATAGGTATAATATTATGACGTATACCTCAATAAAATATCGATACCTTACTTACTTCAAAATCTCGTAAGTAACCAAAACCTATTTTCACAGGAGAAACAAAAAATTTTTGCAAGTGAGCTCTATTGCTATGGAATAAAATTATTCACAGATTATAGCGAAATAATCAAAATAATTCAATTTTTTTCAATAAAATAATTCAATAGATTATGAGGTCTTTTTCGAAGACTATAGATATAATATTTGCCAAAAATTGAATTTACGAGGTTTTTAAAGTAAGGTATCGATACATTCTCTCGGACAAGCGAAGTTTTCGGTCGGGGTTTGCATGTCTAGGAGTGAATCGCTATTACGATGTAGTAAGTCGGAAAGAGAAAAATGCGAAGTATTTATTACATAACTACTTAATTCAACGCTAGATTTCATGCGTTTGGGAAAATACTTGCTCTTCTTTCTTGACCGTACTCTTCGTATATATGAAAATCGGCACCCAAGGCCAGAAATACCGACCCGTTATGTTAACAACTAGTGAATAACTGTGATATATACTTAACCCGTCAAGGACTGGCGTTACCATATGGTAACGTTAAACATAGGGTCCATCTTTAACCACTGCATTAGAAGTTTCGTAATTTTTGTTAAATACTAAAATGATCTTCAGGATTAAAATATAACTTTACTTATTAAGAAAAATATAATCCTAGATGATATAAACTGATGGTCCTGTATCATTTAGAAATATTTAGAAATTTTTTATTCGATATGGTGACATATTGAAAATAAATTACCATAATCTAATTTTATAAAAGCACAATTAAAAATAAATTTACTGGACAAAAGAAATATATAGTAAATATTAATTATTATTATTAATAATAAATTAATAGCATAGTTGAATGGATATCTCCTTATGTTATGTCGAATTATGAGCTCCATTGAAGCAGTAGCGTAACTTCAAATGTGAGGCCTCCCCGCAAGATGTTTTTGGGGCCCTTATATTAAAATAAAAAAACACACTAAAAAACATAATATAGCTTTATGTAAGTATATCAAGTCATTTAAAATATAAAAACAAAAAATAAACTTATTCCACATAAGAAAAAATAATAATAAAGGAACATAAAAAATAAAACATTACAAAATAAATCAACATAAAACAAAACTCAGGTACTAAAAGAAAACTAAATAATAAAAATAAATCAGCATAAATAGACTTTTTCTACTAAAAATTTGATTCAAATTAAAATAAATTAATAGGAACAAATAAAATGCAAAAAAGGAACAAATAAAAATAAGAATTGAAAATAAGGTAAAAAGTTTCAACAAAATTTTTTCTCCTTGCTTTAAAATTGGCAAAGGCGTTAATCAAATCAATCGCTACGTTTGCGTTATTATTCTAATGAAAGATAGAAAATTATTAGTCACACATATTAATAATGCATGAATAAATTAACTTGGCTAAAAAATATGTGTTCAAAATTAAAACATACTACATTATTAAGGTAACAATGTAGCTTAAAAATTAAATCAAGTCCAAAATATTTTTCATTTTTTTCCTTTTATTTTTGGAAATTGTAGGAGACCCTGTTCACATATATAATGTATTTAGTAAATAAAATTAGAGGCACCTGCGGCGCCCCCAAAATCGCGAGGCTCTCCCGCCGTTACGGGTGCTGCGGAGCCTACGCTACGCTACTGCATTGAAGCTTATTTTATAAAAATCATAGAGCCAGAACTCACTATTCGCTGATTCGGTTCGTGGATGCGATTTGTTGGTTTGTTTGACTAAAACGAGCCTTTTGAGCCTAAAAACAGACATTAAAACGACGAACCGCATCAGCGAATAATGAGTATGGAGCATAATCTAACTGCATGGTACAATACACGGTACGAGAACAGGCGCCCAGCATGTAAAGCGAGAGAGAAACTAGCGAAGATAACTATAATAGCTGGGGGGAGTCAATAAGCTATGGTTATGCTAAAACCATCCGTATCTATAATATCAATTTATATTATCTAGGATTACAGTATAGATACATTTATATTCCTAAATATTTTTAGATCAAGTTGTAATTATTATGTGAGATTATGATATAATATTTTTTATGTGTTTATACATTATGATACTAAATTTAATATAAAAGAAGTTTTATGTTTATAGGTACGCTTTACGATATATTATATTGTCAAAAACATGTGTGTCTCATTGGTTATTAAGAATATTAAATGCTAATGATAAGCAAAATTGTATTATTTAAGCCTGGCAATAAAGACCGCGTGATGCATAGACCGCATCACATTGGACAAGTATTTGGATGGATCTTTTATCTTTTTATTCGAGGTATACCGGATTTTTAACTAAATTTTATATATCCGGGAAAATACAGAGTACAAAATCAGTTGTCTGTATTTTCTATATTATTTATTTTATAAATTTTAATAAGATTTAAAGCCACCTTTTCTTTCTAATTACATACCTGGTGCGTCTCAAAAGTTTCGGTTATAGGATAGGTTTGGAATTGTGAAAATTTCAAACGTTTTTCTTTTGATTTAAAAATACTTTTGATATTTTTCAAATAAGGGTATTCCAAAATTATACCGGGTATTTCTCAAAAGTATTTCTCACTCATATAACGTTTTTATTATTGCAGATAAGAAATCGAGATTTGGTATGTTGGTATTTGACATAAATTAGGATTGATTGACGTATTCAATACTTGTTTTCGGTCACTTCCTGTTTCACCGGAAATTACTGCAACTTTTGATTTTTAAATGGCACCTTCGGTATTTTGTTCTTATTTCGAATATGGTTTATTTGAAATTGCAACATGCGATTCATAACGACAATTTGACTCAAAATACCAAATGTGTGGTACCAAATTATTCGTAAAAAAATGCTTTTTCCCAAATATACTGATAAGCCACCATCGTGAAAAATCTACCATCTACCATTTGAAAAAAATTGAGATATTTGGATGCATCTTTTAACCGACCAAGATAAGGATAAGACACTAAAAACATTAGAAGATCAAATCTATTTTTCCAAGTCTCCTTATTAAAAATTAGTGTTTTTAACACAGCCGTCGAAACCGTGGAGCCTAGATTGAAATTTAAAATACAATTTTGTGTTAAGCAAAAATGTCAAAAGTTGACATATCATTCTATTCAGAGTGTCATTTTCTATCGAATAAAGTAAAAAAATACCGAGTGCTATTTAAAAATCAAAAGTTGCAGTAATTTCCGGTAAAAGAGGAAATGGCCGATCAGAATTGAATACGTCAATCAATTCTAATTGTCATATACTAACGTATCAAATCTCTTTTTTTCCGTGAACAAGTAAAAAAGGCTATAGGGGTGAGCCACTTTTGAGACGCACCCGGTATTATTCAATTAAAAGTAAATTTAATCTCATTATGAAAAAAAATCTATTATTTGCCCTGTAAACTATAGGATGATTGTCTAATAAAACAAAATACCGCTATAAAGAATATTGTATTTATTTCGTACATTTAACATAAATACATACAGTCTTAATACTTCATAAATATTTATAAGCATAATATATAATTATAATAACTAGAATATTTATATTTATTTATCCATTTAGGGGTTGTAACAGCTCTTAAAAGTATCACAAAAATGGTAAATTATTTACTAAGATAATGAAGAAATTGATCAAACCATGCATATAATAATGACTTAGGGTAACTCGTAAATCTTTTTTTTTGAGTATATACGTATCAAAAAATCTTGGAATTGACACTGATTAAAAATACATGATTTTGTTAATACTCAATGCCTAATATATTCGTCTAAAGTCTGTCCAACAAGAATATACATGACAGTTGTCTGCTAATTTAATTTACAGTAAATTGTATCATTTGTCATTTTTTGGATGTCCTACGTCAAAATCTTCCCTAACTCCTTGGACAGACTTTAATTATCAAATTATATATAAAAATAATATATGGTCCAATTTGCTACAAGCAACTTTTTGAGAGACATTTTGTGCGCATTAAGAAATAGATAATGTCAAATAATAATTTTTTATAAATGCCATTTGAAATATACCTATTTTACGCTAAAATGGCGATGACACAATTGAATAAAAAATACATTAAGAAATAAAATGAACCCATTTGATAAATATATAAAAACATAGATCTACTCTAAATAACAATAAATTTAAATATAAAAATATGTATATACACTCACCGACACGAAAAACGGGCACCTTAAAATTTGTACCTATGTATTTTAAAGTATAATATATTTTGTTCTCGTTGGACCATTCTGATTATTTTTCAAGCAATTTGTAGCTAAATTACGTGATATTTTAGTACTTCTTTTTAAATTAAAAATGAAAATCTGCCCATATGCCAATTATACAAGGGAAAACAAAGTGTTAATATTTTGGTAAAAGTTTGAAACACCCTGTAGAATATGTTAACAAAGCAAGAAATTTAAAAATCGCTTTATCATCTAGATACATCTTAATAGAGTTTTTGTTTTTCTAATGTCATTGTCAATTGAAAAGTCATATTATTATGTGAAGGGCTTTAAAAATCATCAAAATCGGTCCACTAGTACACAATATAGAAAACTTTAAAATACATCAAAATTTTAAGGTGTTCATTATTTGTGCCGGTGAGTAAATGTAATTTTATATTATTTACAATGAATAATCCCTAAATTAAAAGAACTATCTTTTTTATTGTGTATTCATTATAAAATAAGAAAATATTTTTCATCTCATCTCTATTTATCTTATCTGAAAAACTGCAAACACAGCGAAGAAAAAAATGTCACTATATCGGTTTAATTGAAGATGTGTACAGTAACTGAAATAAATTGATTCTTTGCCTATTAAGAAAGTTTTCTGAGAAACTTTTATATTTTTTTATTCCATTCCTGACTAAATTTTATAGATGTTTTAAATTAAAGATAGTAATTCCAACGGTGCTAGTAATATTTCACTGTTTATTTTTTATTTTTCGTAGGAAATATATAATAATAATAATCTGAAAACGTCAATGAAAACTATAAGTGATAATGGACGATTTAAGATAACAACCAATCTGATTTAATTCATTGTATTATTGTTTTAACTTAACTTTGATAACTGGGATTATAAGGAGCTTGTTTTCCATATCCTTCGTGGATAGGCTGTGGTGGATGCATTGGGGGTTGTGATACTGCTATATCGTAGGGCGGTGGCTGGTGTTGAAATCCTGGATGAGGTGGGTAACCCCCTGTAAAGTAAAAAGAGGAAATACATATATCGAACTCTTTTAATGTCTTTTTTTCTCTGTATCAACAAAAATATCGTTCATAAATTATTTTCGTGGGTATTGGTCAATTTTAATTTAACGATTGCTATAGATTATTTATATATTTATAAATAAGAAAAAAAAAACATATAGATATATCTTTAAAAAATAGTTAGCTATTAAACAGCAATCTAAAAAATAAAAGCTATCTTTTCCAAAACGCCACTGCGAAAATCAGCTTGTTACTGGAGATGAACCTACCACAAAGATATAGATATTGTTTAAAAAAACATTATTTTACTGTAGAGCAATAGTGAAAATATTAAAATGTGTTTTAACCGAAGTTCTTTAACTAAAGACTAAAAAAAATTTTTTTTTCAAAAAATTCCAAATTTATTTTTTTTTCGCGAAAAAAAATCATAATCGTGTTTCTGGGGTCGAAATATACCACCCCTAAAAGTATTTGCACTTATTTTAAGACTCACCCTGTATATATAAGAACTTTAGTTACATTTTTTCTAACTAGAATTATGTTTTCCATGTGATGGACAATTCAATATCACTTTAACGTATTTTCAGCAAAGTGTATATAAGTATTAGCAGAATACAGGCAAGCCTGGATAGCAAAGAAACAGCACTTTGTGCCTTCTTGGACATTGCAGGGGCGTTTGACAATATACCTCACAAGGTGGTCAAGAGATCTCTTGAAACAAGAGGGGCGAACAGTACGATAATTCGCTGGTTTTGGGAAATGCTCTCAACACGAACAGCAGAGGCTGAGATAGGTACCAAAACTGTAGTTGTTAAAACAACGCAAGGAACTCCACAAGGTGGAGTGACCTCCCCCCTACTGTGGAGCTTGGTAGTGGATGAACTACTGGAAGAATTAACTCTAGCGGGAATACACTGCATAGGGTACGCAGATGACATAGTCATCATTGCACAGGGGAAACATGAAGGCACCCTGTGTGATATTATCCAAAGAGGATTCCGCATCGCTGAGAGATGGTGCAGGACTGTCGGGCTGAGTATTAACTCAGATAAAACCGCAGTAGTGCCATTCACCAGAAAGCGAAGTTTGAAAAACTTGAAAAGAATCCATCTAGATGGAAAGGAAATACTGCCATCACAGGAAGTGAAATATCTGGGAATAACCCTGGATAGTAAACTTCTCTGGAACAGGCATATTAAGAACATTACCAGCAAAGCCACAAAGGCTCTCATGATATGCAGAAGACTGGCGGGAAATAGGTGGGGCTGCGCCCCTAACATTTTGCGCTGGATGTATACCATGATAGTAAGACCCATGATTACTTATGGAGCAGTTGCTTGGTATACAAAACTAGAGCAACGTACAGCAAGGCAAACCCTGTGCAAAGTACAGAGACTGGCATGTATCTGCATCACAGGTGCCATGAGAACATGTCCAACAGCAGCAATGGAGGTCATTCTAGACCTAACACCACTGCATATTGTCGTCGGTAGTTATGCCAATGCGACAATGATTAGAATGGTCATTGACGGAAACAGTACTGGGAGAATTTTCAGGTCAGGGGCTTGGAACACCCTCAAAAAGAAAATTCCACTTCTCCAACTCCCAGTGGATGACATACCAAGAATTTACAACTTTGAGAAACACCTCACTGTAGTATTGAGTAATAAAAAGGATTGGAAGAAAGAAACGCTTACTCAGCATATAAAAGACCATACCATCACGTGGTATACTGATGCTTCCAAAACCAAAGCAGGGACAGGGATAGGAGTATTTGGGCCGAAAACTGAATACTCCGAACCAATGGGCACCTACCCCAGTATCCTTCAGGCAGAAATTTGCGCTATCGAAAGATGCGTACAATTTATCTTGGATAGGAACTATCGAAAACAGGAAATTGCCATCCTATCCGATAGTCAAGCAGCACTTAACGCGATCAACTCAGTAACCATCAATTCGAAGTTGGTCAAAGAATGCCTAGAGAAGCTCAACAAATTAGGCAAAGAAAATAAAGTCCTCCTACTCTGGGTGCCTGCTCACCAAGGGATAGAAGGCAATGAAAAAGCAAATGATCTAGTAGGAAAGGAGCGAACACTCCACTAACTGGACCAGAACCGTTCTGTTTTCCAAACGGGAACCAACTGAAAGCGGAACTGAAGAATCTGGAAGACTCCATCCGTAACTTGGAATGGGTGTCCTCCAACGGTCTAAGACACTCGAAAAGTTCCTTAGAACTTATGACCGAGAAAATCAAAGGTTTTCCTTGATTTAAGTAAAACAATCTTCGGATTGTCACGGGGTTTCTAACAGGACACTGTCTCCTCAACGAACACCTCATTAGGCTGAAACTGAGAAACAACGGCGAATGCAGATTTTGTGGGGAAAATGGGGAAACACCAGAACACCTTATCACTGAGTGTGCCGAGACGACGACCATTCGTGCCATGAACCTTGGCACGTCTGATGTCGAGGATGGAGAGCTGGCCTCTGTGGAGCCGTCTCAGATACTGGCTTTTCTTAAAGCCCTGAGACTGTATGATGAGTTATAACTCGTTATAACTCAAGAAAGGGGAACACACAATAGATCTATAAGGTCGCGGTGATTAACTCCCCTTCTAAACATTCTACATTCTACATTCTACAAGTATTAGCAGAGCAAGTAAACCGACGAGTAGCGACAGTCCGGTTTTCAATTTACTTTGGGCTGCGCGATTGGCATTTATCAAATATCTTCCAGAATGCCTCAGGCAACGAATCATTTTTTTAATTATTTATTAGCTGTAAGATATTTTGTACATTCAAATATAGAATAGAGATTAAACAAAACAAAAAAAATATGTATAAAACTTTTCGTAAGCTGAGCAGTTAAATAGGTAGTCTATTCTTGACAACCAGATGAAACATATTGGTGACATCATTAAGGTATTTCGTAAATTACTGAACATTGGTAATTGTTATTATTACCTATTTGGTAACTGTTATTATTATTTGATAATTGTTATTATTATTTAAATGGGCTGTCAAACGATTTTTTATTCTGACTTTTTGATTTTTAATTTGAATTTTCTTTATCAATAAAAGTTCTCATCGCAAAGTTTATTACTTATTTTATGCGAGAAAAGAGACACTGGTAAATCACTTTTGGCCGTAGATGCCATATTTGAAGTAATTCCAATGCAGTGGCGGCTCGTGAAGGAAGGTTTGGTTTGGTTGGAAAATAAATTTCACCTATGAAGTATTATTCTGCGACACGTTGTACTAATTTTTAAATGGTACGAAACCTATTAGGTTTAGTACCAAGATATTTGAAACGTTCTTAAATACCTATTGCCTACCTTGCCTCTTATCGTTAAATATCGCGGAAATTTATGACTCCTTAATATTTGCCCTTTTGCAGTTTCATTTCGTTTTAGAAAACCAGTGATCCAAGTACAGAAAGAATAACGTTATGAATAGGATTCAAAGAAATTGATAGTGAATAGGAAAAAAAGAAACACTAAAATTCAATTCTTCCTCGGAACGGGTGCCGGTGCAATAAATAAAATAATTCTTACCGGTGAAGAAAGGCTTAACCTTCAAATTTCAACAATATTATTTGTTGCATTGAATTTTAAAAACTGCTAAAATTCTTTATCTTTTGTTAGAGTTAAAATACTTTTATTTAAATATAAACTTAAATTTAGAAACACAAACAATCTAAATAATTCTCGCCTTAAATGTCCAAATAAAAACAAAAACATACGCTAATTAATTCACCTACGCTGTACTCACTACCTGCACTTTAACTTCATGAGTCATGCATACAAGATTGAGACGTTGTCGCATTTTTCAACAGTCAATAGTCAGATTATTTAAACTACCAATGAAAACAAACCCTCAAGCGCCAAATATCTCGCCTCAACCCTGCGATAGAGGTGTACCCCGTCGTCGGCCGTCGACTCGCATGGTCTTAAATCGTCGCTCATAATAGGTAGGCAATTCGAACTCTCCCAACAATTATTTCGCCTTTGTGGAGTCGCGTACTTTTTTGGCTGGGTTTACACGGTTTACATTGCGCCTGACCATGGATGTATTTATATATTTTTTTTAGTTTGATAGTGTTGAATGTGTTGTAGAATTGTCATAAGTTCATTTTAAAGGCCTCAGAGGCCTACCCTGACAAGCCACCACTGTTACAATGCAAACGTGTGTAGTGTTATGGTTATCTAAACACAAATTAACTGCCTTTTTAAATAAAGCCTGTTGCTGATGCTTTTTATACAGTTTAAGAAATACAAGTGTGTTTAATTATTTTAGGCATTTTGAAATAAGTATCAAAGTGTACTTTACTGTATAGAATCACAAGTATTTTCATAAGTTTATTTTTAAAATAGGTACCATTTACCTGAAAAAAACTGGTATATGCGCCCAAAATTATAAATTGAAAGACAATCAAAATTAATAAAGGCCTATAACATACCCCCCCTACATGAATTTAACAAAAACGGAATTCACTGAATTAGTAATTCAAAATGTAATTATTTTTTTCTAAACAATATGAACTGATCTCAGACACCCTAAACCTAAAACGCATAATCAGAATTCGAAAATAAAACGCATAATTGACAAATAATGATGACGTTACGTTCTATTTTCAAAACAGCATTTTTTTCATTAATATTACTTTATTTTATTAATCATTAATTTACTTTTATATAAAAAACAATTATGATTGTGACTGACAGAATTGTGCAAATAATAGTTTTATCAGCGGCTCAACAGTAATATATACCGGGTGTTGCATAGTCGAGCGGGACATAGGAAATCCCATGTAAATTTTAATGGGGTCAATTATTGGCTTCTCTAATTAATTTAGAGAATAATTCTATTTAGGATTATTGAAGAGCACTAAAACCCACATTCAAAAGAATAACTTTAGATATTTTTAATTAGCCCGTTTACGAGTTATCGCCGATTTCTTTTTAAATATTCTCCTTTCTTATGGCCCTAT